TCCCCACCCGCCCACTGTTTGTTGCTTTTTGACATGTAAATGGGTAACTACCCCCCTCTGAGTGAATACCTGTTGTACCTGTCCGGGGCTAAGCCCATAGGACGATGCTCTGATGTCATCACCCTCGCACATTGGTCATATGTTTATGAGATCACTGTGATTCACTTCTCCGCGGCTCCTCCGTGCAGAGAGGCCCCCCCCCCGTTGACAATTCACGAGCGTCTAACTCTCTCCCCCCTCCCCCGTCGCACCTTCTAACAGAACCCCCCCCCCCCCCCCATATCTGGATTTGGCCCACAGACCTAGAGAGTAGCAAAGTACAGTGAGTCCTAAACACAAGTAGTCAGGGTTAATTTATAACGCTTATTTTGATTTATTTTTCTCAAATGATGCTGTATGTTTCACTTTCTGAAAGCGTTAGAATCGCACATGAAAAATATTGAAAGCTGCCAGCTGCCCTCGGCCATGTCTTTGGCGGTGATCCAAGCTTCGGTACCACAGTGGATAAAGTTAGTAATACATTTATAGGCTACTGATCAAATGTCAATACATTACATAAGTCTTATTCTCATTCATACTTAATTTATTTCTTCTTCTGTCAGTATGAACACAAAAAACTAACCGGTATTACATTTCATTCTAAAGTTTACGGTCTAAAAAGGTATTTAAAACAGATAATTTGTCGTTGCTGTACTGAGCATAGCAATATATTTATTTTCACTATGTTATTTATTTATGATTATCCTTGGGCTCAGCAAAGATTTGATGTCAGCTGTTGCTGTCTTTTTTTCTATAGTTAATACTGAAATAGAGCCCTGCTGTTTTGTCAGGGCCCTTTCTTTAAATATAATTTTAAAATGTCGATACAGTAGCCCTTTTTTTTTAAATGTCTATGCTTAAGTTTTTGTGTTGCTATCTGCTTTGTGTAGCGTGGTTCTACAAGCAAGTCAGTGCATTCATTGGGTGGTATCAGAGAGATACAAGGGTCTGTAAATGCAATGAAAACAATTGGCCACAGCAAATAATTGATATTAAACATGTAATTTTTACTTTTGAATACTTCAGTACAAAGGATGTATTGAATAATTTAAGTGATATGTGTACACATATAAATCATTAGTCAAAACAGGGCTACATTTGATTGAATTATAAAAGGTATAATATGTGGTAAACTGAAGAGCCGTTTGGGAGCCGAAAGAGCCGGCTCTTCTTGGTGAGCCGAGCCAAATGATCCGGCTCACCAAGAAGAGCCGGAATTCCCATCACTAATAGACCTAACATGTGAAGAAACATACTTTATTTAAAATAAACATTTATAACTAGTTTAGGTTGTTTGAGAGGTAATTGAAATAGCTAAGGGTGATGATCTGCGAACACAAACTACAGACTGCTGGAGAAGAGATATCACAGGGGGGGGGGGGTTGGGACACACACATTCCGATGGCCAATTCGTTTTAAACAAAGAGTAGGCTATACTCAACATAGTGGGGTGGGGGCTGGTGAACGGTATGGTCAATGTTTGTAAACACTGTGACATTTTGACTTTATTTGATCATTTCAGTTCAAAACTAACGTTCATATTTCATATTACTGTTTTGCCTGGCTGGACCTGTAATTTACAGGAAAGGAGTGCACGCTACTAAAGAGACACGCTACCATGGAAACCAAACAATGGTGTTGCTGTATTGAAGTCCGAGTGGAAACAGTCATATTTGGAGCGTTATGTTAGAATGAAACAGTCAGGTCGTGACTCACAAAAAAAAAGTGTTACTTCACTAACTGTAAGCTTGTCACTCAGAGTAACCTACAGTTAACTTAACTGTTGGAAAAGAAAGATCAGGGGGGGAGAGAGCTGTGATGGGCCATTAGGAGTGTACACACACAGCTGAGAGCTGCCGTTTCATTCTGACTGTTTAAAAAACGGTAACAACGGACTATTTTTCTTAGCGGATGCATGTAAATTTAAATCAATACATACAACTATTTTTTAAATCAATAAAAATATTTTCTAAATCCATAAAAGCATTTTAATTAATATTGGGAGTCATGTCGTTACTTTGTGGCCATGTAATAAGCGGGATAATTTGCAGCGACTTTGTCATTATGGGGAAAAATAACACCCAGGGATCAAGATCCCTCCGCGACGCGACGCGGAGGGATCAGTATTTTTTAGTGAATTACTGAGTTTAGGCACGTTAATAACATTTTAATGAAGTTGAATACAGTATATTCATATTTGTCAGTGATTTCATGTCAATTCGGCGAACATAAACGATTAAATTAGGATTAAAAATCGAGAGCCGGCTGCTGTTCGTTACGGCAACCCAACTAGGACACTTGACACAGTGGCTTTTGGCAAAGCACACAAAGAAAACAAAAAAAACCGAGAGAGATGAGTTATTGTTATTACAACGTGACTTCACTATTATTTAACAACTATTTTTATTGGGTTCTTTTATTTGGGGTTAAGTACATTGTCAGAATAAGTGAGAAATGGATTTAACTTCTGTTAGACAGCTATCATACTGAATAAATATTTATGCAAAAATGTATGGCATTAATAATGTATATCTAATTACATTTAAAAATGTATGGCATTAATAATGTATATCTAATTACATTAACTGTGAATGTCTTTCATTTTATTTAAAATGAAATAAAATTACATAAAACATTTTCCAGATATACTGTACACGGACATTTTAGTGAACCAGACCAGCTGTTTCCGCCGGGTCTTCGCTTCCCGGGCATCACGTTGTTTACAAGTGTGTTCAGATGCTAAATAAAAGTTTAGCTTGTACTTTTGATACCCCGCCTCTCGGCACCACAACATCCAGTTTACTGTATTTCACATGAGCGATGTCGAACATTGAAAAGTCCTTATAAAATCTCTGTTATTAGATCAGTACTTTTCTTATATGACTATTATTGACTTGAACACTGAGAATGTATTTATTAACTTCAGACATTTGAAATATTTGAAATCAGATGAAAACAAACTGTAACGGACCCTGCCGTGTTATCTATGATTACTATGCCTTACTGTACATATCATTTGCAGCGACTTGGTCATTGTGGGGAAAAATAACACCCATCCTGATCGTTTCAATGAAGTTGAATACAGAATATTCATATTTGTCAGTGATTTCATGTCAATTCGGCGAACATAAACATCAATGATGATGATTAAATTAGGATTAAAAATCGGGAGAGCCGGCTCGTTCGTTTTTTCCGACTAAACAACATTATTTAAATGATTACATGTCTTATTTAGCACAGACTATGATCCTATCCGTGACATATGGATCTTAACAACAAAGAAGTTGATTTCACATGACTCCAGTGTGGAACCCCACTGCACCCCCTGGTGGATCAATGATCCATTGCAGCTGGCTTCACAATAATTAAATGTATTTATCACGGGGGCGGTATCAAGTCAGACTGGGGGCCGGCCGGCCATCACGGAACGTGCACGAACCGATCACGACCCTCGCATTTTAAACTGTCCAAAATAAGACGCTTCATCTGTACCAAAGCAACAGTTTTTACAGTGTATATTTAATTAGTTAGCTAACTCACGTAACACCGTGAATGTCCCCGCTGTGGGACTGATGAAGGAACTCTGATTCTGAAGCTCAGAGTATATTCAACGTCCTGATTTACAGCTGGTATATTGCAGCATAAGAACGCTGATTAAAAACGTGTCAGTCTATTGTTAATTTCAATTTCAGTGGCGAGCCGTCACGGCCCTCTAGGCCCTTTTGAAAACGTTAAAAAAAAAACATTTTTTTTAAAAAAAAATTTTTGTTACATTTTTCATTAGTTTTACCAAAATAACTTGATTTAATTGTATTTAAAATAACATTTCCAAAGAAATAAATCCTTCGAATCTGCCTGTTCAGTTTCTGTTGGAATGTGAAGGGTTAAATGCCGTCTCTGCGAGTTACTGTGAAGACGGGAGAGCTTGTTGGTCCCTCTGTACATTCACAGAGGGCCAGCTATAGTGACTCAATGAGAGAGTAATGTCAAATGACAGAACAATTGACCAATCATATCTTCCCTCTAAATGGGTGGGCTTTATTTTCGCGGACTTTATGACAAGTTCCGCCCGCTGTGAGGTTTATGCAAGTGGTGCAGTGACGCGTCCTAAAACCCGGAAGGAAGCTGCGCTCGGGTTCCCTCGACAGAAAGCAATGGGATTTCTCATGGATGTGATAGCTGGAAATAAGGTCTGTGGAAAACGAACCTGTTTGATAAATGCACGTTTTGTTCAGCCGGGTAATATCCACATGTCTACCCGATTATTTAGATTTATGATCGATAGATTTATGATTAGCATAAGTTCGTTCATGATGGCTCATTTCAGTGATAGTGATGACATCGTTGCGAAATTATTAACCGAGTCATTTTCAAGATTGAGTTACAATGATAAACTGGAGTGGCAAAGGATCAGCTGCATGACCCGCCATCAAGTGCTTCATCCAGAAGGACACGAGGATGGACTTTGTGTTTCAGTCATTTGATCATCAAAGGTAGGCCTAAGTCATTTTCAATGTGGGCCGCCGTGCCGACTTAATTCATTTGTAATTGTTACTTGGCTGTGGGCGCTCTGTGATGATAGGTGTTTATATAAATGGTGTTCTGTGTGGTAGAGGGTCGCTGTCATTGATGCGTTTTGCACCCCGGGCCGTTGTTCTGATATTCTGCTGAAGTATACGCTGAGACGTAATAACTCTTCTTTTTCTTCGAGGGAAGGGGCTCAGAGGGCCTAGGTATAAAAGTCACGGCTCGCCACTGTTCAACTTGAATTTATTTGTGCATTTGTTCTGAATAGTTCTTAAGATGGGAGTCAATGAGATGTATTGTCAGAACTTTTAAGCAGTATATTCAGAAAGGGTAAGCCCTGTAGAAAAGAGAGTAACACTGACTGAGAGACATTTATCTACGTTTGAATTTAAATTGTGTGTGAAGCCTGTAATTCTGATGATGTGACCTCTGACCTCTGAAATGACCAGGCTGCAGTTTCCTTCTTCATCGTAGTCGATCTGGAAGTGCCGGGTCTCTTTGATGGGCTTCTCGTCTTTGTACCACACCACCTCTGGGTCGGGGTAACCTGGAGAAACATTTAGCTTTATATTGCATATCCTCAGTTTTTAATTAATCCGTGTTGTGAAAATCCTGAATGTCCTCTTCCAACATGAGAGTAACATGATAACAAAGGTATCCCAACTGTAGCTGTGAACATGACAGGATGTGTGATTACCTAGAAGAGCATCAGGACTGTTTGAGGCATATGATAGCTATGTGATTAACATGATGATTCAGCCTCTATGGAGATAGACATATGACAAGCATGATCATTTCTGACGTGGAGCTAATCTGAAGTAAACATTGAATACTGCTTTCTATTCCTCCATCTTGTGACTGTGTAACTCCCTCTCTTGGATATCAGCATGTGAAGGACTCTGTTCAGGAACTAGTTGATGCTCTGTATGTGATGACTACTTCCATTCTGGAGAGGATCACAGATACATGGATCCTGAGATTCATGTATTTGTCAGAATTTTGAGATTTTGAGAAAAAAGTGTGCAATAAAAGAGAACCTACATGGCGATGAAACAGATCCTGTATCTTGCTTATTTCTCCTCTGACACTTTATCTTTACAGTGACCTGTGTAGCATCCTATACATCACATGTAAGTGATTATTCTGATACCATCATGTTTCATCGGTTATAAACTGGCGAAGCTTTATTTATTGTGTCCCACCCCAAATATGTGGCTTTAAAAAAGATAATTTCATTGTATTTCAAAATGGCGTCCATCAACACAAGCACTATTTATAGAAAGAGAAATGGTTAAGTTTGTAATTACCAGTTTTGTGAGTTCAATATTTTAATTAATTATAGTAAGGGAACATCTTAGGAGTTAGTGTAGTGAGTTTCAGAGCAGTGTAATAATGATTTGACCTAAAACTAAATGTTTTTATGCACATGACATGGTGATTTGCTAACTTTTGATTTCCCCCATTTTACACGACACAAAATGGAGGCCACTATGGGCCAAAACTAACGCGTAGGTTTCTGTAGGGTTCATGGCAGACGGATGCAGTTGCTCTCAGGAGGATATATAATAAAGGTGTGTTAACTGCTGAGCCTATTTACTGTGCATACGACACACCTGGCACAGTTTATTCATTTCACACAGGTTACGCAATCCATAGCGTGTGCATGTCGTCGTCCAATCCTTTTGTCAATCCTTCTTAACCGCCGGCGCCTCCGAATCAGCATTGCTATTGCATTTGACTGGTCGACGATCTGTATTTGTGTTTGCTTAAATAACTCAGACGAAGCTCATGTCTGAGGTCGGAAGGTAAACAGACGCCTCATATACAGCAGGTGGGCGTGGCAGTATACGCGGGAGGTTCTTCTTCTACTTCTCTCGGTTTTTTGGCGGATTGCAACTTTAAGGTGCATACCGCCACCTACTGTACTCGCCGTGAAGTTGTTTGCGGCCTGCCAGTAAACCCAAAGCAGAAGAAGAAGAAGTGACGTCAGCGGCTCATTTGCCTAATCCTCTCTCAGGAACTCATTTTGGTGTGAACGCGATCTGCTTTAGTTCATCAGAACTAAAAGAGCTCTCATGAACTGAGTTCTCATGAACTACTGTGGTGTGTACTTGGTGTGAAAAAGTCAGAATTTTGAGAAAAAGTCAGAATGTTGAGAAAAAAGCCAGAATTTTGAGAAAAAAGCCAGAATTTTGAGAAAAAAGACAGAATTGTTTGATTTTGAGAAAAAGTCTGAATTTTGAGATTTTGAGAAAAAAAGTCAGAATTTTGAGAAAAAAGCCAGAATTTTGAGAAAAGCCAGAATTGTTTGATTTTGAGAAAAAGTCAGAATTTTGAGAAAAAGTTAGAATTTTGAGATTTTGAGAAAAAGTCAGAATTTTGAGATTTTGAGAAAAAAGTCAGAATTTTGAGAAAAAAGCCAGAATTGTTTGATTTTGAGAAAAAGTCTGAATTTTGAGAAAAAGTCTGAATTTTGAGAAAAAGTCTGAATTTTGAGAAAAAGTCTGAATTTTGAGGAGAAAGTTTTCTGAAAAAAGCCACCAAATGCTCTGTATGTGATGACTACTTCCATTCTTGAGAGGATAATAAATACATGGATCCTGATATTGAAGCTCAAGCCGGGGACCAGGGAAATATTTCTAACAATCGGTCTGTTTGTTGTTGGGTCTCGTACCTTCGATCTTGCAGTCGAAGCGAGCGGCGCTACCTTCGACCACCTCAACGTCTTTAATGACGGAGCTGAAGGTCGGCTTACACTCCGTCTTCTGCTCGTTCTCCAAACACTCCAGGAACTGGTTATCCTCTGAAAACACACACACACACACACACACACACACACACACACACACACACACACACACACACACACACACACAGTCACAATACCAGATAACCAGAGAGGGCAAAAGTACACACATCCTTTACTCAAGTATAAGTACAGATACTCGTGTTTAAAAATACTCTGGTAAAAGTAGAAGTACTGACTAAACTTCTTAACTCAAGTAAAAGTAAAGAAGTATGGGCTTTGAAATGTACTTAAGTAAAAAGTACCCATAACTAGCAGCTGTTTTAAAGAGTACCTCACCTCCCTTTATATTAATAGAACAATAATGTCATTGTTAGCTAATGAATGTTTCCATGCTGAACAACGGCAACATGACAACGTTTTCATTGGTCCCTCTTCTTTAGAGAAGACCAGGAAATGATGGATACACGGATCGTGTTCAAATCAATAGGCACGCAATGACTCTAAATAATAATGATCACGCCACCAAACACACATTCAAACTAAAGGAACCAGCCTGTTTGGGAAATGAGAGAAGTAGAAAGTACAGGTCTTTGTGTTCAACATGTAAGAAGTAGAAAGTACAGGTATTTGTGTTCAACATGTAAGAAGTAGAAAGTACAGGTATTTGTGTTCAACATGTAAGAAGTAGAAAGTACAGGTATTTGTGTTCAACATGTAAGAAGTAGAAAGTACAGGTATTTGTGTTCAACATGTGAGAAGTAGAAAGTACAGGTATTTGGGTTCAACATGTGAGAAGTAGAAAGTACAGGTATTTGAGTTCAACATGTAAGAAGTAGAAAGTACAGGTATTTGTGTTCAACATGTAAGAAGTAGAAAGTACAGGTATTTGGGTTCAAAATGTAAGAAGTAGAAAGTACAGGTATTTGTGTTCAACATGTAAGAAGTAGAAAGTACAGGTATTTGTGTTCAACATGTAAGAAGTAGAAAGTACAGGTATTTGGGTTCAAAATGTAAGAAGTAGAAAGTACAGGTATTTGTGTTCAACATGTGAGAAGTAGAAAGTACAGGTATTTGTGTTCAACATGTAAGAAGTAGAAAGTACAGGTATTTGGGTTCAACATGTAAGAAGTAGAAAGTACAGGTATTTGTGTTCAAAATGTAAGTAGTCAAAGTCAAAAGTGGTCAGAAAAATAAGTAGTGGAGTAAAGTACTGATACCAGAAACATGTACTTAAGTACAGTAACGAAGTATTTGTACTATACTTCCCACCTCTGCAGAAAACACACACTCTCAACAGACTGAACAGAATAACTCTCTCTACCTTCGGTCAGCGACCCCTTCTTGGCGCTGACTCCGGCCATCATGGCCATGGAGGAGAGGCGCCCGATGGCCCGGACGGCGTGGCCCGTTTTCTGCCACAGAAGAAGAGACCGTTACATCCTATCGTATATATGCTGCGTCATGATGTAAATATGCTGCGTCATGATATAAATATGCTGCGTCATGATGTAAATATGCTGCGTCATGATATAAATATGCGGCGTCATGATATAAATATGCTGCGTCATGATGTAAATATGCTGCGTCATGATGTAAATATGCTGCGTCATGCTGTAAATATGCTGCGTCATGATATAAATATGCTGCGTCATGATATAAATATGCTGCGTCATGATGTAAATATGCTGTGTCATGCTGTAAATATGCTGCGTCATGATATAAATATGCTCTGTCATGCTGTAAATATACTGCGTCATGATGTAAATATGCTGCGTCATGATATAAATATGCTGCGTCATGATATAAATATGCTCTGTCATGCTGTAAATATACTGCGTCATGATGTAAATATGCTGTGTCATGCTGTAAATATGCTGCGTCATGATATAAATATGCTGCGTCATGATATAAATATGCTGCGTCATGATATAAATATGCTCTGTCATGATGTAAATATACTGCGTCATGATGTAAATATGCTCTGTCATGCTGTGTCATGCTGTAAATATGCTGCGTCATGATATAAATATCCTCTGTCATGCTCTAAATATGCTGTCATGCTGTGTCATGATGTAAATATACTGCGTCATGATGTAAATATGCTCTCATCATATAAATATGCTGCGTCATGATGTAAATATGCTCTGTCATGCTGTGTCATGCTCTAATTATGCTGTGTCATAGTGTATATTTTCTGCATTGTTCTCATGTTGTTGTTTACCTGCCATTTCCTCCTCAGGATGTACTTCTTCATCCTCTCTTTGGAGAGTTTCTTGGCCGTCATAGTGTTGGTGTCCTGTTTCAGCCATTTGTGATCGTAGCAATGAGTACAGGTGAGGCGCTTCCTGACACACACACACACACACACACACACACACGGTCAGTTTTAAAGGTCATGGTCTGTCCTTGCTCTACTTGCTGTCCGAACACGTTGTGAGTTTTCTTACTTCATGTCTTTCTTCAGCAGGTTGGTGATAAAGTCTTTGGCGTCTTCTGAGATTTCGTCGAAGGCATCGTCCTCAAAGTCCCAGGAGGCCGAGGTCACGTTGGACAGAGTCTCGTTGTCATTGTCGCCCATAAAGGGAGACAGACCGCTCAGCCTGAGACCCGAACACAGAGACGTTCATTACAACCAAAACTTCACCTCAAAACTATAGAAAAATGATTTAACTTCTTAAGAGCTGAAGTTAAAACAGTGTGTGTGAAAACTGAAAGAATATTAATTAAAATAAAAGTTAACCTAAAGTGTAGAATTGCTAAAGTTATAACGAATTGAACCATCAAATTTGACAAATGATATATGCTAAGATAAAAAACCAAGTTATGTTACAGTTATTTAAATTAATTATGGGAAATAGCCCAACGTGATATAAAATAAAATGAAACTGAGCTAAGTGACGCTAAGCTAAAGAAGCTAATCTAAAAGCTATACTAAAGATAACAGTGTTGAAGTGAACAAAATCAATACAAATACACTTTACCTTCTCACTTTAAAATAAAGAAAACTGAGTGAAATTAAAACAACAGGAAAGCTTTGTTGGGTTTAACAGACTCACATAAGCTCGTTAGCTCGTTAGCACGTTAGCTTGACTCACAGTATATAACAGATGACTCCTATACTCCACATGTCGGTGGGATAACTGATGGCTTCATAGTTGATCACTTCAGGAGCCACGAACTCTGGAGTCCCGAACAGAACCTTCAGAGTCCCGGCGTTTTCTGTCAGAGAGAACAGAACCAACATGTTACGGTTAAGACATTTGGTAATTGGCAATATTTTACTTTTTCTCAACATTTCAGAATTTGACTTTTTTCTAAGAATTTGACTTTTTTCTCAGAATAATGATTTTTTTTTCTCTCAATTTCAGAATTTGACTTTTTTCTCAGAATTTTACTTTTTTCGCAGAATTTTACTTATTTTTTCAGAAGTTTCCTTTTTTTCCTCAAAATTATGACTTTTCTCAGAAATTCAGAATTTTTGAGGAATGTCATAATTTATTTGACCTTTTTCTCAGAATTTCAGAATTTGACTTTTTTCTACACAAAATTCCAAACCAAATGGAGGAATCCCATTGGAGCAGGAGATGATGCCTTCAGGGACCAACACATTTCCAGGGAGATGATGCCTTCAGGGACCCACACAGAAACACTGCATCCCATCACAGTTCTTCAGATATTAGGGATATTAAACTGACCTAGTCGCCTGGCGAGGCCGAAGTCGATGAGCTTGATTTTGCTCCCGGTCTTCCCCACACACATGATGTTCTCTGGCTTCAGGTCCAGGTGCACGATGCCCTGCTTGTGGATGAAGTTCACCCCGTCGATGATCTGCAGCATGTATTTAATCACCTCTCTCTCCGTCAGCTCAAAGTCTTCATCGATGATCCGCTCAAACAGCTCGCCGCCAGAGATCCTGAACAGAAACAACTCCTGCTGTTATTAATATATAATAATGTTCCTGAGTCTTACTGAAACTTCACATCTATAACCGATCCCTGGATCCTGAACGGAAACATCTCCAATTAAAAACATGAGCTGCTGTTCACAGATAACAACTTGTTCTGTTATACACTACAGCTTTATCTATCTAGCACTTTAAAACCTCCAGACAAAAGTACTTTTTTCAGAATTTGACTTTTTTCAAAATTTGACTTTTTTCAAGATTTGACTTTTTTCTCAGAATTTAAGAATTGTACTTATTTCTCAGAACTTGATTTTCTTTCGTCAAATAAACAAACAAACATATAAATCACAAGTACAAGTAAAAACAAAAGACACTTTAAAAGCAACAATCTACAAGATGTTCCTGAGTCTTACGGAAACTTCTCATTTATGTTCGCTGGAGGCTAAACAGAAACATCTCCAAATCAAACATGAGCTGCTGTTCACAGATATTAAAGTAAAATGTCCTTTTTTTAACAATGTGATCTTTAATCAGTGCTGAAGCTTCATATTATTGTTATTTATTTACTGAATGTTAACAACCTACTTCCTCTGCATGCTCTCCCTGTTTATTTAGCAGATCATGTTTGTCCAACCGGTTTAAATGTGAGCGGTTCTTTCCATTTAATCTGCAAATAGGCAGACATTTTGAGATCCTGGTGGAACTCGGGGTAATAAAGTAAATATGATGTTTTCACAGTAAACCCAGATAACGCCTTGTTTTATGTTCAGAGCCAGATCTATATTTAGCAGACAGGAAATAGCTGCTCACATTCCTCTCATGCTCGGACCCTACATTATTTTCCGACATTCTCAGAAACTGAAACATCTCGTCTGCTGCGGGTTTTTATACTCCTACACTAAAAGACAAGATGGATGAAGACACCATTATTATCAGTAACAGTGACAAAAACTGAAGTATAAAAACAACATTTGGATAAAAAGCTGAAAGGTAGATTTCTTGACCTTCCCTTTGACGGCTATCTTAACTCAGCTAAGGTTTTCAGGGATCACATGGATCTCTTTGCTTCAAGACTGATAATGTTTTAAAAGTATAATGTTAAAAAACAACATACTCGTTAATATCTCAATGCATTAAGCTAACCAGCTGCTAGCTTTCATATCAACTGTAGCCTCCAGACATAAACCTCATTACACCAGTTGTTACACAAAGCATTCATCTGGTTGCATCTTAGAATGTATTTAATGTATTATCTTAATAGTTATCACTGGGTCAAACGGTATTTAATTGTATTTCACTGTACAATATTTAACCTTAGATTCTGTTTCTTTCACCTGCACTATTTTATTAAAGGTCCCATGTCACGGCCATTTCTACTGATCATAATTCCATAGTTGAGGTCTACTAGAATAGATTTACATTGTTCAATGTTCCAAACTGACATTGGTTTCTCAAACAGCATCTCTGTATAGTATGTAGGGATGGGTATCGTTAAGGTTTTATCGGTACTTTTATCGGTTATTTTGGAGAGAAAAATGAGGTAAACTAACTATATGTTGTATGTCAGGGACTACGGATGGAAATGAGCTCAAAGCTAAAATCCGGCATATTTACACATTTACACACACGGCATTATTTGTCTAAAGTGTTCATTAATGTGCATTGTCCCTATTCAAATAAACAATTAAATGAAAAATGAAAATAAACAAATTGTGAACAAAACTAACATTGCTTTTTATTTAAATTAAATACATAATATTTCACATCAAAAGAAACAACAACGTTTTAACAAATCCTATTAAATAATGTGATGACAGAACTGTGAACAGAATAGCTGAAACTTTAACAAACTAAATAACTCAGTTCCTCTAATCATTAACCCACGTTTGCATCATTGAGTTAGCTCCGTGTGCTGCTGCTAGCATACATAACACCTGACGTGGAAACGTTACTCGTGGAGGGGGCTACAGAGCTGCTAGAGAGACAGTCGAACCCGGTGCATTCCTCCGTCTGGATGTGGAGCACTTTTGCTAAATGTTTAGACAAATTGCTCGTGTTACCGCCCTGACATGCTAAACTCTTATTGCACTTTTGGTAACGAGCATTGTCCACATGGAGACGGGTAAAGTTTAACCACACCTCGGAGCGCTTTCTCTCCGCCATCTCCTCCGTGTGTGTGTGTTGCTGCATGTAGCAGCTGCGTGTGTGTGTGTGTTGCTGCATGTAGCAGCTGCGTGTGTGTGTGTATTGCTGCATGTAGCAGCTGCGTGTGTGTGTGTGCGTTGCTGCATGTAGCAGCTGTGTGTGTGTGTGTTGCTGCATGTAGCAGCTGCGTGTGTTGCTGCATGTAGCAGCTGCGTGTGTGTGTGTTGCTGCATGTAGCAGCTGCGTGTGTGTGTGTGTTGCTGCATGTAGCAGCTGCGTGTGTGTGTGTTGCTGCATGTAGCAGCTGCGTGTGTGTGTGTGTTGCTGCATGTAGCAGCTGCGTGTGTGTGTGTGTTGCTGCATGTAGCAGCTGCGTGTGTGTGTGTGTGTGTGTGTTGCTGCATGTAGCAGCTGCGTGTGTGTGTGTGTGTTGCTGCATGTAGCAGCTGTGTGTGTGTGTTGCTGCATGTAGCAGCTGCGTGTGTGTGTGTTGCTGCATGTAGCAGCTGCGTGTGTGTGTGTGTGTGTTGCTGCATGTAGCAGCTGTGTGTGTGTGTGTGTTGCTGCATGTAGCAGCTGCGTGTGTGTGTGTGTTGCTGCATGTAGCAGCTGTGTGTGTGTGTTGCTGCATGTAGCAGCTGCGTGTGTGTGTGTTGCTGCATGTAGCAGCTGCGTGTGTGTGTGTGTTGCTGCATGTAGCAGCTGTGTGTGTGTGTGTTGCTGCATGTAGCAGCTGCGTGTGTGTGTGTGTGTGGCTGCATGTAGCAGCTGCGTGTGTGTGTGTGTTGCTGCATGTAGCAGCTGCGTGTGTGTGTGTGTTGCTGCATGTAGCAGCTGCGTGTGTGTGTGTGTGTTGCTGCATGTAGCAGCTGCGTGTGTGTGTGTGTTGCTGCATGTAGCAGCTGCGTGTGTGTGTGTGTTGCTGCATGTAGCAGCTGTGTGTGTGTGTGTGTTGCTGCATGTAGCAGCTGTGTGTGTGTGTGTGTGTTGCTGCATGTAGCAGCTGCGTGTGTGTGTGTGTGGCTGCATGTAGCAGCTGCGTGTGTGTGTGTGTTGCTGCATGTAGCAGCTGTGTGTGTGTGTGTGTTGCTGCATGTAGCAGCTGCGTGTGTGTGTGTGTGGCTGCATGTAGCAGCTGCGTGTGTGTGTGTGTTGCTGCATGTAGCAGCTGTGTGTGTGTGTGTGTTGCTGCATGTAGCAGCTGCGTGTGTGCGTGTGTTGCTGCATGTAGCAGCTGCGTGTGTGTGTGTGTGTTGCTGCATGTAGCAGCTGCGTGTGTGTGTGTGTGTGGCTGCATGTAGCAGCTGCGTGTGTGTGTGTGTTGCTGCATGTAGCAGCTGTGTGTGTGTATTGCTGCATGTAGCAGAGCATGTGTGTAAACTGCCCCCTCGCACACAGGCGGGAGAGAGATCTCTCGCCTGGATTGGAGAGATCGAAAATACAAAAAATGACGCATTTAGCAGTCTTCTTGCGTATTAGAGACGGAGTTGGCGACACTAAAACGGCAATATAATGTTTGTGTAGCAATAATACACATGACATATTTTTTACATGTCTCCAGTACCGATAAAAAGGCTGATAACGTCGGAGCTTAACGGTACCACGGTCTTTAATAATTCAGCCCCGGGGCCCGTTTAATACCGGGGCTCGGTACCCATCCCTAATAGTATGTGTATTCACTCTCTGTCCTAAACGCCTTGTTGGAGCTCCTGCCCCCCCCTCCCTGTGAGCCCACTGTGCTCTGATTGGTCAGCTCGCCCACTCTGTTCTGATGAGTCCACCACCGTTACAGCTGAACATCAGTGATCATGTTTTACAATGGCGTTTGTTAGCAACCAGGAAATGACCCCAGTGATGACAAACAGATGAGAATGCTGCGTGGGGTCTGGGTGCCGTGTTGGGGGGACGTTGGGGGGCTCGCTGCTCCGCCCTTTGAGGCTTGAGGAGCGGACAGTGTGAGCTGGATTACTGGGGTCGTTTCCTGGTTGCTGCGTGGGGTCTGCGAGACAGCGAGACACCGCGGAGCTCAGCCTGAGCACACACACGTGAGTGTGTGGCGAACTGTGAGTGGACATCCACGGAGCCGAGGCTGAGAAAAGATAAGGTGTGTGCCGGCCAAACTCTGCGGAGTAGCGCGGCTGCGAAAAGATAAGGCTGAGTGAGTGTGTGTGTGAGGAGCTCCACGGATTGGTCCATTTGGACCTGGGCATGGTCACGTTACTATACTAAAAATGGAAAAATAAAAATGTCCAACGAGGCGTTCTGGGGCAGCATAGACAGCTCTGCTCTGTGTTAGAGTTTTACTCTCTACAGGGTGCACTTTGAGGGTTTGTGACTCTGCAGACCGTCTACATGCAGAAGCTACAGAACACAAGGGGACGGGTCAGAACCAGAAGAGCATGACATGGGACCTTTAATGTATCGTACTCCTATTTTTATTTTTGTATTATTATTATTATTTTGTTGTACTATGTTCTATATATAATATGTTGCATTGTTGGAGGAGCTACTGTGCATATGATAATAAACCCCTGAATCCTTGAATCCACAGCCCTTTGTTTTTACATTACATTACATATCACAAAGCGATTTACAAGTGCACAAACCACAGAGATTCAGACTCCGAACAACAAGGGAAGTGCAGATAATTCACTTAAAGTGGACCTATCATGCTATATTTAAATGATATATTGTAGGGCCATACCTATATAAGGTATATTTATACGTTTCTGTTTTCAAAATACCAAACAGATCATGCATTTTAGCCATGCCTCATTTCGCTCTGTGCTGTTTGCTGTCTACGGGTCTGATTCTGCTGACCACGCCCCCCTGCAGGAGAGGGGAGACGTGCTCTGATCAGCTGCTGACCACGCCCCCCTGCAGGAGAGGGGAGCCGTGCTCTGATCAGCTGCTGGGCTGTCAGAAGAGGGGGAGAAAAAGAGATCTCCGTCCTCCGTGTTTTATTATATAGAGTCGTTATTCATTTGTTTTAAAGCTCAATAAATAACAAAGAAGACCTTTGACCGGCACTTTTCTAATTTTGTCTGGAAGATTTAAACTTTAACGGACATCTTGACCGGCGAAAGAAACTGAAACTGAAACTCTGCCGCACGGTCCCCTCGTTCCTTGGAAGAGGCGGAGAGGTGGGTGTTTGTCATCTGCTGGTGGACTAACCGGAGAGAATTACAGGGCTTGCCTCGACGGGGAGGGATTGCATTGAATTAAAGCAGCGGGAGCAAACGCTTGCCTCGGGGAGGGAGAAAGAAAGCCACAGCGGAGAATAAACAGAAGGGTAACCATGGTAACTACGGGTGGGAAGTCTTCTTCGCTGCTTTTGTGGCAGACTACAGCGCCACTTACAGGCCTGGCATATGTACTACAGCGTCTCCAGCGCTTTCGAGCGGCAATGGCCGGCCGTGGCCCAACCCCACATTCCCCTGATAGGTGGAGAGTTGGTCCAATAGCCGTAGCGCCACTTCTGTGACGACATAGAAGTGTTCAAATCTGGATCAGATCCAGCCCCTTTTTTAGAGATTTGGGTATGGAGGAAAATAGAGAGGGTTGTGTTTTCTGACACTTGGTGAGTTCCCTGGAACACCGGGGACACATATTCATGTAGAAAAGACGTACAAAAGTGCATTTTGCATGATAGGTCCCCTTTAAATCAACATCACAGCACAGTAAGAGCTGGTGAATCAGATACAAGAACTAAATTAACTTGTTTCCAGGTTTCTAATTACTAACCAGCTGCTCCTGATGGATGGTTGTTTTATTCATGTATATAGACTTTTTGCACTACTTTTTATTTGTATTTGTGTATTTTATTATATATGTTGCATTGTTGGAGGAGCTCAGGTCAGAAGAATTTCAATGCCATTCCTCCACTGAAGCTGCTGAGCATCTGACGATAAAACCTTTGAATCTTTAGAATCTTGATTCTGTTTAAAATCCCTAAATACGCAGTGTTTACGTACATCTAAAAAAAAAATCTCAGACTTTTTTCTAAGAATTTAAGAATTTGACATTTTTGCTCAAAATGTGACTTTTTTCTCATAATTTTATATTTTTCTAAGAATTTTACTTTTTTATCAGAATTGAAGAATTTAAACTTTTTTCTCATAATTTCATTTTTTTCTCAACATTTGACCGTTTCTCAGAATGTGTTTACGTACATCTCGAGCACCATGACGATGTCAGACTTCCCCTCGAAGGCATCGATGCACTGAACCAGTTTGGGGTGATGGAGGCTATTCATGATGCTGATCTCGTGCCGAACGTTATCTTTCTCCTTCGCCGAATACGCCTTGATGAACTTCCCCGCCCAGACCTTTTTCGTTGCCTTCTCAACCAGTTTGAAGACCTGACCAAACTTCCCCCTGTAACATAAGAGAGAAGAAGGTTTCTCATCTGAGGTAATCAAGAGAGAGAGAGAGAAGAAGGAACATTTCCTCCTAGACTTCTCTACAATCTGAGGTTATTATTGTAAGTGTTGAGGTGTGAAAGCCTTACGTTCCCAGCCTCTCCTCCACGTCGTACAGCTCCTTCACCTTCACGTCTGTCCGGATGGAAACGTCTCTGTAATCCGGCTCTTTCTCAGAGTCTGAACACACAAAAGGTCAGAGGTTAAACTGCTGGAGGTCGAGTGATGTGTTAATGTTTTTATTTAATAAACAGGAAGTGAGAGTACCTTCATCCTCCTCCTCCACCTCGGCCTCGTCATCTGTGAGACGAACCAAACAGCAGTTAGTTCAGTTAGTCTCTTTAGCTCACTTTCACATGGATTTTAGTTTAATGAAGTTTAGTTGAATGGACTTAGTGCTGGTTACATGGAGTCAGAACAATAGATACTGAGCGTCAATGGGAACGAATATGTTCAGACAATTCTCTGAACATTTCAAATGAAGCTCTCTCTGAGTGCTTCCCCGATCGGTCACCTGATTTTGTAATAGTTTATATAAGTGGTCAACTAAAAATCATTCAAAGTATTTTATCGTTGACTTTCATTTTAAATCTGGAACTGTTCACAGGAAATCTCTGACTACAAAAGAGTTATTTAATTATTGAAAATGCTCTGGTCAAATCCAACACCTAACAAAGAACATAAACTATTTATTTAAAATAACAATACTTTAACAAATAATCACAAATAAATAATAATAATTAGAAAGAAATCTTAAAAGTGACCAAACATGTGGAAAACTAACACAAGGAGAACAAAGTTACTACAAAATACAGGGTAATAGATGCAAAAAGCCACCTCAAAATGACCACAAGGAGGTGCAAATAACGAACCCAAAACCACTAGAAGGTGACTCTCTAAGACTCTATGTGTCACCCTAATAAACACCCGTTATTATTAGCGTCACACAGAAACAACAACAACAGCACCAACAACCAGGATCTATGTAACTTCACTGTTAGTGTACAGTTTTATTATCATGCTGCTGTGTTTATTGTATTTTTGAAACTCTGGCATAACAATTTCCTTCAGGATAAATAAAGTCTTATCTTATCTGGAGGAGTTTCCTCACCGCATAACTCAAAATAGATGTAAACAATCACAGAGATACAAAAATATCCCTAACTACCAGAAAATAAATACAGAACAACTATAAGACTATATGACTGATTTTAAATGCCATTTTCTTAATGTCTTCCATTTTTGTAAAGCACTTTGAATTGCCTTGTGTTGAAAGGTGCTGTATAAATACACTTGCCCTGCCTTGCCTTGCCTATAAGGAGTCACTAAAGAACTGCAAAAGGACCACAAGGAGGTGAGATAACGAACCCAAAACCCCTAGAAGGTGACTCTCTTGTATATAGACTCTTTCTAGTCTATTTTTATTTGTTTATATTTGTATTTCCTTGCACTATTTGATCTGTGTTATTGTGTTGCTCTGTGGGAGGAGCCTGGGACCTCAGATCTTCACTGTCATATCTACACTGCAGCTCTGAACACATGACCACAAAGGCCTTGACTCTCTGAGATCACATGACCACAAAGGCCTTGACTCTCTGAGATCACATGACCACAAAGGCCTTGACTCTCTGAGATCACATGACCACAAAGGCCTTGACTCTCTGAGATCACATGACCACAAAGGCCTTGACTCTCTGAGATCACATGACCACAAAGCCCTGACTCTCTGAGATCACATGACCACAAAAGGCCTTGACCTCTGAGATCACATGACCACAAGGCCTTGACTCTCTGAGATCACATGACCACAAAGGCCTTGACTCTCTGAGATCACCATGACCACAAGGCCTTGACTCTCTGAGATCACATGACCACCAAAGGCCTTGACTCTCTGAGATCACATGACCCAAAGGCCTTGACTCTCTGAGATCACATGACCACAAAGGCCTTGACTCTCTGAGATCACATGACCCACAAAGGCCTTGACTCTCTGAGATCCACATGACCACAAAGGCCTTGACTCTCTGAGATCACATGACCAACAAAGGCCTTGACTCTCTGAGATCACATGACCACAAAGGCCTTGACTCTCTGAGATCACATGACCACCAAGGCCTTGACTCTCTGAGATCACATGACCACAAAAGCCTTGACTCTCGGAGATCACATGACCACAAAGGCCTTGACTCTCTGAGATCACATGACCACAAAGGCCTTGACTCTCTGAGATCACATGACCACAAAGGCCTTGACTCTCTGAGATCACATGACCACAAAGGCCTTGACTCTCTGAGATCACATGACCACAAAGGCCTTGACTCTCTGAGATCACATGACCACAAAGGCCTTGACTCTCTGAGATCACATGACCACAAAGGCCTTGACTCTCTGAGATCACATGACCACAAAGGCCTTGACTCTCTGAGATCACATGACCACAAAGGCCTTGACTCTCTGAGGTCACATGACCACAAAGGCCTTGACTCTCTGAGATCACATGACCACAAAGGCCTTGACTCTCTGAGATCACATGACCACAAAGGCCTTGACTCTCTGAGATCACATGACCACAAAGGCCTTGACTCTCTGAGATCACATGACCACAAAGGCCTTGACTCTCTGAGATCACATGACCACAAAGGCCTTGACTCTCTGAGATCACATGACCACAAAGGCCTTGACTCTCTGAGATCACATGACCACAAAGGCCTTGACTCTCTGAGATCACATGACCACAAAGGCCTTGACTCTCTGAGATCACATGACCACAAAGGCCTTGACTCTCTGAGATCACATGACCACAAAGGCCTTGACTCTCTGAGATCACATGACCACAAAGGCCTTGACTCTCTGAGATCACATGACCACAAAGGCCTTGACTCTCTGAGATCACATGACCACAAAGGCCTTGACTCTCTGAGATCACATGACCACAAAGGCCTTGACTCTCTGAGATCACATGACCACAAAGGCCTTGACTCTCTGAGATCACATGACCACAAAGGCCTTGACTCTCTGAGATCACATGACCACAAAGGCCTTGACTCTCTGAGATCACATGACCACAAAGGCCTTGACTCTCTGAGATCACATGACCACAAAGGCCTTGACTCTCTGAGGTCACATGACCACAAAGGCCTTGACTCTCTGAGATCACATGACCACAAAGGCCTTGACTCTCTGAGATCACATGACCACAAAGGCCTTGACTCTCTGAGGTCACATGACCACAAAGGCCTTGACTCTCTGAGATCACATGACCACAAAGGCCTTGACTCTCTGAGATCACATGACCACAAAGGCCTTGACTCTCTGAGATCACATGACCACAAAGGCCTTGACTCTCTGAGATCACATGACCACAAAGGCCTTGACTCTCTGAGATCACATGACCACAAAGGCCTTGACTCTCTGAGATCACATGACCACAAAGGCCTTGACTCTCTGAGGTCACATGACCACAAAGGCCTTGACTCTCTGAGATCACATGACCACAAAGGCCTTGACTCTCTGAGATCACATGACCACAAAGGCCTTGACTCTCTGAGATCACATGACCACAAGGCCTTGACTCTCTGAGATCACATGACCACAAAGGCCTTGACTCTCTGAGATCACATGACCACAAAGGCCTTGACTCTCTGAGCATCACATGACCACAAAGGCCTTGACTCTCTGAGATCACATGACCACAAAGGCCTTGACTCTCTGAGATCACATGACCACAAAGGCCTTGACTCTCTGAGATCACATGACCACAAAGGCCTTGACTCTCTGAGGTCACATGACCACAAAGGCCTTGACTCTCTGAGGTCACATGACCACAAAGGCCTTGACTCTCTGAGATCACATGACCACAAAGGCCTTGACTCTCTGAGATCACATGACCACAAAGGCCTTGACTCTCTGAGATCACATGACCACAAAAGGCCTTGACTCTCTGAGATCACATGACCACAAAGGCCTTGACTCTCTGAGATCACATGACCACAAAGGCCTTGACTCTCTGAGGTCACATGACCACAAAGGCCCTTGACTCTCTGAGATCACATGACCACAAAGGCCTTGACTCTCTGAGATCACATGACCACAAAGGCCTTGACTCTCTGAGATCACATGACCACAAAGGCCTTGACTCTCTGAGGTCACATGACCACAAAGGCCTTGACTCTCTGAGGTCACATGACCACAAAGGCCTTGACTCTGGTCCCTATAAACCTCAGTTATTATCATGAAGTGTCACAACAACAAACAAACAACAACCAGGATTGTACTCTGTTTCCTCACCGTTGTCCACCAGCCAGTGTATAAACCCTGTTGTTATTAGTGTCACACAGAAACAAACAACAACAACAGGATCTGACTTACTAGACTTAATGCAAAATTACCATAAAAGATGCAGAACTACAAACAACGACCCAAAAAGACTACAAAGAAAGTAAAACATCAAGTAATAGATGCAAAAAGCCACCTCAAAATGACCCCAAGGAGGCGCAGATAACGAACCAGGCTCTAAGACTCGAGGGATCCACCGTATAAACCCCTGTTATTATTAGTGTCACACAGAAACAAACAACAACAGTTTCCTCACCGTTGTCCACCAGCCCCACGGTGACGGGCGCAGACTCGGCGCTCGGCTCTCCGACTCCGTACATGTTCTCCGCTCGGACACGAAACTTATACTGCCGCTCGGGAAGAAGGTCCTGGAGACGGAGAACATTTCATATATCCTCAGTTCATGGAGAGACGGAGAACATTTCATATCTCCTCAGTTCATGGAGAGACGGAGAACATTTCACATATCCTCAGTTCATGGAGAGACGGAGAACATTTCATATCTCCTCAGTTCATGGAGAGACGGAGAACATTTCATATCTCCTCAGTTCATGGAGAGACGGAGAACATTTCACATATCCTCAGTTCATGGAGAGACGTTCACATTCTCAGGATACCGATCTTATCTTTTACTGCAGGTCTCCCTTGAAAAAGAGATCAATGATCTCAATGGGATTTCACCTGGATAAATAAAGGTTTTGAATTGAATTAACCACCTGATGATTTTCTAACGTTTCAGGTTGTTGACATTTTGAAGGAACTTTTTTTGAACGGGTTTAGTTTGTACTTTTTTCACAATAACATTTCGTTAAGCGCTTGTGTTAAGCCCTGAGCCTGTTTTTCAGGTCTCAGGCTCGAAAATGACATTCCCAGAACAAATGACCATATCTTCCCTTCTAAAAGGGTTAAATTAATAATCTTTTTTCTCAAAGTAATGATAAACCTGTGAGTTGGATGTAGAAAAGTCAGAATCAATATAGATGTTTTTTATTTTAAAGAAAATTCAGATTTTACATAGTAAAAAACTGTAAATTATAGTGTCCGTCCAAAGATTCTTTTTTACTTATAGTGAAAACTACCCTTGGATGATGGTAAGGTAGACTAAAAGCTTTAGGAATCCAAAGTACAACATATAATAAGTACCCTGTATCAAGATTGATGCAAAACAAGTGACATTTGACCTTTTTAGAGAGATTTAGCAAAAAGAAACCACTTCTGGGGTCATTTGGGTGGATTTGACCTATCTCTGGCCCCCCTTGCTCGATTTTGATGGTTGACACCTCTTTCTGACCGTAGAGCCAATAGAATCGAAGGGGGAGTCCGCCACACACACTCATTGTGAAAAGAAAAGGTAGGGGCTGCGCGCATGCAGTTTTGCATTAGAGTGAAGCTACAGTCTAGCTGTGACATCTAGAAACCTAAAAGCATGGATTATCAGAAATCATTTCAAAGGGACACAGACACATTGGATTAACCTATGGATTAACTTCAGCAGCGTTTTTTTATCATTTTAATGCCATTGAAGACCACTTTGGAGAGACTACAGAGCCAAGGTAAACATTTTAGCATTTTTAGCTACCTAGCGTCACCTGTTTTGATGTCTGTTTTTGTTTATAACGTCGCAAATTCGTATAATTCAGTGATAATGACCCATAGATTCTGTGTCACCTCACGATGTGAATCGATGTGTTGGATGTGGTGAAAAGATAAATAATAAGGTTTTGTGAGTGATTTTTGGTACAGTAAGGTGTTAGCATTTTTCGCTCGTTGCTAATTCAGAGGCTCAGTGTTAGCATTGTGGGTTTTCTTTTGAAAAATAAATTAAAATGATCAGTTAGATGAGTTTCTTCCTGTTACATGGATATAAAACATCCATAGTTTATTAAATGAACATGCCCTCAGACACTGTTTCCTGCAAGATGTTGCGGCAGTGCCCCGGTACCGGGGTCTCTCGGGCTTAACAGGTTAAAGGTCTCCTATCATCCTCTTCTTCATCAATATATCACAGGTCTCAGATATATCCAGAGCCTGTCTCTGATTGGCTGAATCACCAAACAGATCATTGCAGCATTACCCATAATCCCCTCTGTTTCAGCCCTGTTTCCAAAGTGCTGATTCTCTGTCTGTTACTTTAGATGAAAATAAGGAGCCCCTCCCCACGCCCCTCTGAGAGACATTTGGTTACAAAGAACTCAATGGTGCTCTAGGAGGAGATCCAGGTGATAAGGGGGGGGGGGTACCTTGGTTGCTGATTGGCTAATGGTTACACAAGCCAACACATCGTTATGACATCATCAAGTGGCCAAAATCTGATCAGCTCGTTTTCAGACAGGTTTTTATAGAAATGGAACAAAAAGAGAGAGAATCTTTGTTCCTGAAACTTTAGAGTCTCTTTCCACAGAGGGGACACATGTTGATGAAGAAGAGACATGAAGAAGAGGGGACACATGTTGATGAAGAAGAGACATGAAGAAGAGGGGACACATGTTGATGAAGAAGAGACATGAATAAGAGGGGACACATGTTGATGTAGAAGAGACATGAAGAAGAGGGGACACATGTTGATGAAGAAGAGACATGAAGAAGAGGGGACACATGTTGATGAAGAAGAGACATGAAGAAGAGGGGACACATGTTGATGTAGAAGAGACATGAAGAAGAGGGGACACATGTTGATGAAGAGATAAGAGAGACATGATAGAAGAGGAAGAGGGGACACATGTTGATGTAGAAGAGACATGAAGAAGAGGGGACACATGTTGATGAAGAAGAGACATGAAGAAGAGGGGACACATGTTGATGTAGAAGAGACATGAAGAAGAGGGGACACATGTTGATGAAGAAGAGACATGAAGAAGAGGGGACACATGTTGATGAAGAAGAGACATGAAGAGAGGGGACACATGTTGATGAAGAAGAGACATGAAGAAGAGGGGACACATGTTGATGTAGGAGAGACATGAAGAAGAGGGGACACATGTTGATGTAGAAGAGACATGAATAAGAGGGGACACATGTTGATGTAGAAGAGACATGAAGAAGAGGGGACACATGGTGATGTAGAAGAGACATGAAGAAGAGGGGACACATGTTGATGTAGAAGAGACATGAAGAGAAGGGGACACATGGTGATGAAGAAGAGACATGAAGAAGAGGGGACACATGTTGATGTAGAAGAGACATGAAGAAAAGGGGACACATGGTGATGAAGAAGAGACATGAAGAAGAGGGGACACATGTTGATGTAGAAGAGACATGAAGAAGAGGGGACACATGTTGATGTAGAAGAGACATGAAGAAGAGGGGACACATGTTGATGTAGAGAGACATGAAGAAAAGGGGACCATGGTGATGAAGAAGAGACATGAAGAAGAGGGGACACATGGTGATGAAGAAGAGACATGAAGAAGAGGGGACACATGTTGATGTAGAAGAGACATGAAGAAAAGGGGACACATGGTGATGAAGAAGAGACATGAAGAAGAGGGGACACATGTTGATGAAGAAGAGACATGAAGAAGAGGGGACACATGGTGATGAAGAAGAGACATGAAGAAGCCCTTCACCTGCACGTTGTAGGAGGTGCTGTTGCAGGAGGCCAGGTGCTTCCACTCCCCGCCCACAGAGTCCCAGACCTCCAGGTTGTAGGACTGGACGGCGCTGCCTCCATCGTAGGTCGGGCCGTACCAAGAGAGCGTGAGGGTGGACCTGCGCACGTCTGAGAAGGCAGGGACCCTCGCTGGGGGGTCCGGTTTATCTGGGGAGGAGAGAGGAGAGAGGATATTAAAGAGA